ATTGTCCTTTAATTGGAAAAACTCCCTTGCACCCTCGCGGGTACGTAAAAAGGAGGTGTGACATCAATATGAATAAAGTACTGAGTATGTAAGGCAGGGAACCATAAGTACGAACAGTAATGTAAGCAGGGATAGAGAATATACAACCTGTAACATCTAGGTACCTCTGAGGGCTACTGACATGAAATGCATGATACATATGTATATATACATAAACTTTTAAAACATACGCCTCTATGGTCATCATCATTATATCATACCTGGCCATAATAGGCTCGGTAAAAACGTACCCGACCATCATAAGGCTCGGTAAAATTGTACCCGTCCACGTGGAGCTCGGTAAAACCCAACTGATTAGTGGTTTCACAATAGGTGTCGTACCTGGCTGACTATAGCGCATCTCAGTAGAGTAAAATAGATACATATATATAATGCATGCTCGACTCATAGAATCATATTCTAAACCTTTTAGAGTGGCGTAAGGTCTGTATCCTCTATACACGTTATTAGGGCTAACTCTTCACCATGAACCTTATAAGAATCAGGAAGTACCAACAACATTTATAACATAAGAAAAAGAGAAGCAACATCAACATCAATCGTTCCATAAGAGGGGAAACAATGTAAGTACTGCTTGCTTCTAAGAGTAGAGTATCTTTGTAAGCTCGTTCATTACATTATGTACAATCGGAGTTGTGCAAAAGAAGGAAAGGGATAGACTCACATACCTTGTATATACTGCCCAACCTGAAGCTATGCAAATGTCACGACTCCTTAGTCTACAATAGGAGAAATGACACTATCGTTAACGTTTAAGTATCGTAACTATTATGTACCGACCACAACCTATTTTACTATGAAACGGACATCATCTACCCTATTTATATGGCTTCCCACAAGTGAAAAAAATCACCGAACAGCCCAAACAACATCAATGTTAATCATATTGAACCTCCCAAAACAGTCCACTAACCGATAACATTACTACCAAGCCTTTCGATACATATTTCACAAGTTCTTGCTTCAATAACTTGGCCGCAACTTGGATAATTTTAAATACATGTAGAGTAAGAGGTTCCTTAACTTTAGACAGAGAGAACAACTCCAACTTGACCTCAATTGTCCATGAAATATCCCTCCAATGTAGCGCCACTAAATTCCCGACACTTGATTTGTGTTGTTTGCCCTGAAACTGACCCTGACAGCCTGAATAACCACCCTCAAAACTCTAGAGCAGAGGTGCACTGATAGGAGCTAGTGGTACACTATAGGGCAACTTATCGGAATATTGCATATGAGAACCACGGCCACCTGGAGCACCGTGAGAAGCCTGAAGTGGTGAATTAAATGGCCTGGGAGGATGGCCTCTTCCAAAAGAATCCCTGCCTCCAGACGAGGCACCACTGAATCTGCCAGCATGACGAGGCCTCTTATCAGACCCCCCACTGCTCCCCTGAGCTAGAACCATCTCAACCCGCATGGCCGCATTGGCCGCATCCTGGAAAGAAATCTTGCTACCTGTCTCCTTAGCGATCTGCAATCTAATAGGCTGAGTGAGTCCCTCAATAAACCTCCTTACCCTCTCTCTCTCTTGGTGGGGAGTATCAGAAGAGCATGACGATCCAAATCAATAAACCTTATCTCGTACTAGGTGACAGTCATAGAACCTCACTAAATACACTCGAAACGCCTGTAGTACTTTTCTCTCTGAGTGACGGGAAGGAACTTCTCGAGAAATAGTTGCGAGAACTGGTCCCAAGTGAGAGCTGGTGACCCAGCTGGTCTGGACAAACAATAATCTCTCCACCATTTTTTGGTGGAACCTGACAGACGGAAAGCAACAAAGTCGACTTCATTGGTATCCATTATCTCCATGTTTCGAAGAACCTCATGACAACTGTCCAAATAATCTTGGGGATCCTCTGAAGATGTACCTCTATAGGTGTTAGTGAAGAGCTTGGTGAACCTGTCCAATCTCTACAAAGCATCTGAAGACATAGCTGATCCATCACCGGTCTGAGTTACAACACTCGGTGGAACTACCCTAACTGGCCGAGCTGCTAGAGTCTGAAACTGGGGAGCCACCTGCTCCGGAGTGCGAGTAGCAGGAGTCTGTGCTCCTCCCCCAGCCTAAGAGACGACTGGTGCTACAAGAAGTATGTCTGCCTTAGTGACACTCTCCATAAGACCCACTAGATGGACTAGAGCATCCTAGAGTACCGGGGTAGCGATGAAGCCCTCTAGGACCTGAGTTGGGCTTGCTGGAACTATCTGGGCCAGAACCTTATCATCAAACTCTACTTGAGGCTTCGCCACTGGTGCTGCTACTCTAGGCTGAGCACTGCCCCTACCTCCGCCTCTAGCATGGCCTCGACCTCATCCTTTACCCCTCGTAGGAGCTGCCTCTAGGGGCTCGGGCTGCTGATCAGCTGATAAAGCGGTACGAGTTCTCGCCATCTGCGGAAGAATAGAGTAGAAGTTCAATTAGCATTCAGAAATCAACCGCACGACAGAGATGAATAGAAGTGAAATTGTTCCTAACTCTGTAGCTTCTGGGGAATAAACACATATGTCTTTGTACCGATCCCTCAGACTCTACTAAGCTTGTTCGTGAATTGTGAGACCTAAGAAACCTAGAGCTCTGATAACAACTTGTCACGACCCAAATTTCCCACCGTCGGGTCCGTGATGGCACCTAACATTGAACCCGCTAGGGAAGCCAACGTTACTAATTATTTTACCTTTTCCCTTTATCTTTGACAATTTACCAAATGATATAAGAAAATCACCGGAAATCAAAATGCAGAAGAATAGAATTTAACAGTTTAACTAAATATTAATATAAAATCCAAAATGAAACTTCCCCTAGAACTAATGTCACAATTTCACGAACTGTCTACGAATCTATGAATAGTGGTCTGAATAAGGAAAATACACATCTATATCATAAATAGATAAAAACAGAATGTAAATATGATAGAAGGAGACATCAAGGCCTACGGACGCCTGCAGGACTACCTTGGGTCTCCACTAGACTGTAGGCATCAACCTCGAACTACGATTCGTAAGGTCCAGTACCGGGATCTGCACAAAAAAGTGCAGAGTGTAATATCAGTACAACCAACCCCATGTACTGGTAAGTGTCGAGCCTAACCTTGGTGAAGTAGTGACGAGGCTAGGACACGACCGAACATCATAACCTGTGCAGTTAAACAATATCAAACGAAATAACAATTATAGAATCTAAATAGAAATTAATAGGAAAGGGCAACATGCTATGGGGAATACCAGAATAAGGAAACACAGAAGTAACAGAAACGAAACAGTTAAGGCACATGAACCAATAACAACAATTAATCACTGCAAACATAAAATGAATGCATGGCATCACCCTTCGTGCTTTTACTCTCAATCCTCGCCACACAATCAATAATGAAAATGTGCATGGCATCACCCTTCGTGCTTTATCTCTCTTCCTCACCATGTGCATCAATATAAATGTAAATGTGCACGGCATCACCCTTCGTGCTTTATCGCTCTTCCTTACCATATGCACAAGTATGAATGTGCACGGCATCACCCTTCGTGCTTTATCACTCTTTCCTCACACAAACAGTAGAAACAACAACATCCCGGCAAGGGAATCAACAATAGAAATATATACATCCCGGCAAGGGATTTAGCTATAACCAATCTCGTTCCAATAGTTAAATTCACAAACTAAATCTCAACTTGAGCCAATACACAACAGTGGACAAATACCAAGAAAACATCATAAGTCTTGTTCAACATGGATATCATCAATTTAGGCATAGATAGTACATAACAAGAATCAGAACGATCACAGTATAAGACTCAAGGGCATGCTCGACACCAACGTATAGATACTCATCACCACACCTATACGTCGTACACAACACTAACACGTAGAAAATAGGACACAACACCTATTCTCTCAAGCTAAGGTTAGACCAAACACTTACCTCGGATTCCACGGCCAAACTCAAGCCTCAAATACCGCTTTCCCTTTAGATTTCGCCTCCAATTGACTTGTATCTAGCCATATTTAACTTAAAAATATCAATAAGTGCTAAAGAATTCAACTCCAGCACTTAATTATATGTTTTCTATCATTTCCCCCAAAATTCAAAAATCGACCCCCAGCCCGCTTGGTCAAAACTTGAGGTTCGGACCAAAACCCGATTACCCATTCATCCACGAGCCGAAATATGCAATTAGTTTTGAAATCCAACCCCAAATCGAGGTCTAAATTCCAATTATACAAAAAGACCTAATTCTATCAAAATCCCCAATTTCTACCTTGAAAACCCTAGATTTTTGGATAAAAATTGATGAAATGCAATGGGTAATTGAAAGAAGGTGGTTTAGAATCATATACCAACACTTTGGGGAAGAACTTGTCTCTTGAAAATTGCCTCTATGCCTTCTAGTTTTTGAAAATATGAAATTATGGCCTCTTTCCCGTTCTGCTTCTGTTTTAAGTGCTGGGTGACAGTGTTCATCGCGTTCGCGTGAGCATTGTCGCATTCGCGAAGAACAACCTTCTAAGGACTTACGCGATCGCGGGAAAGGCTACGTGTTCGCGAAGGTTTTTCTCAGCCCTACCTTCGCGTTCGCGTTAAAGGATTAGCGTTCACGTAGGTTTTCCCTAGATTCCCTGACCAACCCTCCTAAAGCTACGCATTTACGGTTGACCGGTCGCATTCGCATAGAGCAATTCCCCCAATACTCCGCATTCACGACCTTGGTCTCGCGTTCATGTATAGTAAGAGTCCTCCCCAGCCCAGTTTCCCCTTCGCGATCGCGAGAGTGACTACACGATCACGAAGCACAGTGCAACAGACACCAGATACAACAAGTTATACCAGATTTTCTATGTGTAAATCACCTCGTAGCCTATCCGAAACTCACCCGAGTCCTCTGGGTTCCAAACAAAACGTGCACACAAACCTAAAAACATAATACGGACTTGCTCGTGCGATCAAATAGCCTAAATAACATCTTAAACAAAAAATTTAGCATCAAAATCAATGAAAATCTCAAGAACTCTTAAAGTTACTATTTTCACAACCGAGGGTCCGAATTACGTCATATGAATTCCGTTTCTTGTCAAATTTTACAGACACAACTTTAAAACCATATTAAACTTGTACCAGGCTCCGGAACCAAAATATGGGCCAGATACCATCATATCCATACATTATTGAATTTCCAAACTTTTTATATTTTTCAATTTAAATAATTTTCTTCAAAAATTCTTTTCTCAGGCTAGGGACCTCAGAATTCAATTCCGGGAATACGCCCAAGTCCCATATTTTTCTATGGACCCTCCGAGACCATCAAATTATGGGTCTGGGTCCGTTTACCCAAAATGTTGACCAAAGTAAACTGAAATTCAAATTTAAAGGCAAAATTGGCATTTTTCCTCAGATTTACACATAAGGGCTTTTCGGAAACGTGCCCAGAATGTGCACTCAAATTGAGGGGAAAGAAAATGAGGTCTTGAAGGCCTCGGAAACCCCGGATTGGGTTCTAAAATACGAGATGATTTTTTGGGTAATCACAATATACCTATGTTTGGTACGACATTTATACGCATATACATGACATTATAAATATGAAATGATTCATAGAGCTATTCAGACTTACTTGTTGAGTCTTTTACTCCATGTTTCTCTATGTCTTTTATTTACTGAATTTTGTTCCTTACACACTTGGTACATTAGTTGTATTTACATTCCTTTTGCCTGGGGACATTGCGCTTCATATTTGCAGGTCCAGAAAGACAGGTTGAGAGTCCTCCAAGTAGGCTATCAGCTCAGCGAAAGGTGTTGGTGCGCTCTATTTGCTCCGGAGTTGCTTATTTGGTCAGTATGATTTGGACATGAATAGATTGGTATGGTTGGGCCCTGTCCCGACCTTTATGGTATTTATCTATTCTTAGAGGCTTGTAGACATATGTCATATACATGAAAGATTGTATGGCTTTGTCGGCCTATGTTCAGTATACTAGTGATCATTTTGGTCTTATACCGTATGTCATGTATAAGTTTGTATTACATGTTAGGTCGTCCTATGATGAGTATTTCCTCGTGTTTTATTCTAGTTATCTCACAGCAGCCTTTACATCTCATTTACCTATAATAGTATGATACAAAAAGATACGTTATGCTGGTACTCAGTTGAGTAAGGTACCGGGTGCCCGCACGACCCATCGGTTTGGGTCGTGACAATGATGATAGGGTTTAAAGGACCTAAAATGAAGGGTAAGTGTAAACACTTAGATACCCCTCCACATGAGTGGTGATCGATTCCTCAGGAGAAGGAACTACAACATACTTATTTTCCCAATTACACTCCTCTTTAGCATTTTTGAGGATATCTTTAGTGATGGTGCATATATACCTTGAGACAGGTTTACATCGGCCTTGCACCGAGGAGGTCTTCTCGATTTTAAAGTCTGTGAAAGTTGGACACCCTACCAGAACAAAATCCTTAGGGTGGGGCTCCGCCGCAGCCTCATCACCGGAAGGCTGTGATGAAGAAGTAACCTAATTTTGCAGCACGATTTTGGAAGTTTTAGCCATTAATGAACAAGAGAAAAAAGAGTTTGGATGATATGCGGTTGATTAGAGTTCAAGAAATTTGGGTATGAAAATTTTGAAACAAAGAATTTTTTTGAAGGAAAGACAAGAGCAGGAAGAGCTTTCAATGTAAAAGTTTGAATGAGAAAGGGTTAGGATTCTTATAGGTTGAAGGTGACAGTTCAAAACAAGTAGTGGTTGACCATCCACTGACAGGCATTTAATGCCTTGGTAACTGGACCGACGGGACATTTCGTCGCTTGTGGCTTGATGGGGCTCGTCGCTGACATCATCACTCATCGAGGGGGAATTCTGAAATTCATATCATTTTTCGTCACCTTCTTCTCGAGAAATGAGGGGACTATCTGTATACGATCAAAATGGGGTTGCGCCTCGTATGACTATCACACCTCCTTTTTACCCGAGGGGGGTATAGGGAGTTTTTCCAATTAAAGTGACATAAATCGAGATGAGATTATTTTATATAAATCAGAGTCGCCACTTGAAATAATTTTATGGTGTCCCAAGTCACCGGTTTATTTTAAAACCCAAATTTTGGAAAATTTGACTTCATTTAAAAGTATACGAAATCAGAAATTCTAGATAAGGAATTTTGTTAACCCGGAAGAAGGTGTTAGGAATTCCCGGATTTCATAGTTCGAGCACGGCCTCTTAACCTATTAATAATTGCCCTAATTATTTGATTTACTACATGTTTCAAACCTAGTGCATTTTTAGCTTTATAACTGCTTTTAATTATTTTAACCACTTATTAGGATTTATTGAATTATTTCTTGAACAAGTTACGATTGTCGTACACTTGCTGTCTTGGGACACACCACAAACCACGCTACATGAAATCCACCTGTGATTCGCGATATGTTTATTTTATTATAGTTCAAAGTTGTTATGATCGGGTCACATGAAATGCACACCTGAATTTGGAACTAGGTATCATAACTATGTCACGGGAACCGTACCCATAGTCACGATGATTTATTTATTAATTGCGCCTAAAGCAAGCTACGAGGCTTATGAATAAAATTTCTAAAGTTTTGAGATTTGGGGTAAGACCAAGAGTTATGGAATAAATTTTTGGAGAAGAATGTAAATTAATTATGAAATTATGGACTAACTTATGAATTCTTATTTCTTTTTTGGTGAAACTTGTTACTGATTCTATTTATCAAAACTTGTATAAAGATTAGGCTTAAACATTTGTTCCCTTATTAACTGGACTCGATTATCACTTAAAACACCACTAGTTCAAGTTATTTACCATTTTGAAACAAGAATTCACGGGACAATCAATGCGTATTCATAATTTCAAATTTTAAGGATGATGTTTAACTTTTACTTTTAAATACAAGATCCAAAATGAAAAGATAATAATTTGAACTAGTGCTTTGAAAGAAAATTTGGAGCACGATAAGAGATATAGGAGATTATTAATCTTCACTGTAAGAGACTGCAATGTGGTAGAAAAACCAATGTTCTCACTCGAAGATAAAAATACACGAATGACGCAGATAGCATAACAGAACCGTAAATCAAAGCTTGCCAGAAGTTTAACATTTTTTTTCATTTTTAGCAACAAATACAAGCAAATACAGATTTAGGAATGTGTACCTAATGCCTGAGTCAGGAATTGAATCGGCCAAACTCGAGCACAAATGAAGATGACAAGACCCAACAAGCAGCCATATATTCAACAGTCAATCAGCAATTTTGGGGTGTTTAAACACTCCTAAAGCAGGGAAACAATAGCTCAAAAACCAAATAAAAGCCTAGAACTCCTAATTCGTGAAGTTCATCAGTGATGAACAGCAAGAACAATCCCGAACAAGAGGAAGGAAATTTTGAACCCAGGCAAATCAATTCGGAATCGACAACAAATAACCACAAGTTTGATTGTGAATCAATTGAATCTGAAACAACCAATCACTCTATTGTTCGTCCTTCTTCTTCTTCTTCTTTTTATAGCTTTTCGTTCCTTTTTGGTTTTCTCGATCTTAAATTTCGAAATGCATGTTTCTTCTTCCAGCAGCCTAGGTGTGTGGGTATGATTGATGTGTGTGTGTTTTGAGAAATGAAAAAAGCAAACAGAAGAAGGGAGCTGGGTTGCGCCGTTTTTTGGTCTGTGAGAGAGGAGTCTGATTTTCCTTATGTCTTTTAATGTGTGTCTAGGTTAGAAAATGAGAGAATGGTTAGGTTTTAATGAAAATAGAGTTTGTGCCATGTGGGTATTGGTATTGTATTTGGCCAATTGAAGCTGGCCCGGTCCGATTTTAATTAAAAAACAAGCCCCTTTTCTTTTCATATTTTTCTTCCTTCTTCTTTGATTTTAAAATCTAAAAAAATCCTAAATCAATCTAATTTGTAAAATTAAAATTATTTATCTACTAAAACAACTAATTAACTTAAAACTAAATAAAAACACTAATTTCTAAAGACTAAAAGCTAAACATGTAAAAATGACTATTTTGTGATTTTTTCCTTAATAATGCAATTAATTCAATGTAATTAATTCTTAAATGCAAACTGAACCTAAGATGTCATGAAATTAAAATGTGATAATTTTTTATGATTTTTTCTTATGATTTTAAAAATATTAAACATGCATGAAATGTAACTAAATAAAGAAAACTCCTAAAATTCATTAAAATTGTTCTTGATTTATTTTTAGGAGTTATTTTTATATAAGACAAAAATTAGGTGCTCACAGCTGCCCCTCTTTGCTCGGAATCATGAAGAGTTTTCGGGAAAATATAAAGTGAGCAATTTTTGCCCGTTTGAAACTCCATGGGAAGCATTTTCTGAAAAAGTCTGATTGAACCTTGCTTCGTAAGTTGCCTACATATCCTTGGCTATAAAGGAATCAGGTCAGTGTAGTTTTGGATGTTTTGGTAGCTGGGACTACCGAGAAATTGTGATTTCACTGTTGTTGCTGCTGTTTCTGCTTGCTGAGCTCCGTATTACACCAAAATGAAAAATAAAAAACTACACTAGCTAAGCCTATCAACTATGAATTACAAGATTCCTATCTATAAACCTTCTAAAGCTTTATCTTGAGTCTTGGTTGGTTCTTCCTGCAGACTCTGATCTGAATCTTGATGCTCGTTAGCTACAATCGCTGGTTCATTCTTCGTCAGCATTTCGGATCAAGGCGGAACATGCAAAGTTTGTGACTTCAATCATATCTTGAGCAATCTGCATCTTTTCTCCGTTTCTACACTTAGAGTTCAACTTCTTTTCTTATTTTTCTTTTCTTTTATTTGGACTGAGAATTCTTCTTTTGGTCATCTCAAACTTCGTGCCTTATAGTAAAAACCTGTTCAGGCACCAAAACAAACAAACAAACAAAATTTTTCTGCCCTAGTTTTCGCTAGGAAAATTTGGTGAGTTATTGCAACAAAATCCAAGCTACTTTTTTATTGAAAGTAATAAAATCAGGATTGTGTATCCTTGAGAAAAAGAGATTAGGGAGTGGAGACACTATATCTAAAATGAAATCAAATGGAGATCGGAGGCCCTAAGTTGGAAAGATTACCAGGTTATGCTAGCATCAACTAGGGAGTGGGACCTTGTGCCAGAAAAGATTACCAGGTTATGCTGGCAAAGCTAGGGAGTGGGACCCTATGTCGGAAAAGATTACCAGATTATGTTGGCATCAGCTAGGGAGCGGGACCCTATGTTGGAAAAAATTACCAGATTAGACTGGAAAAATCATCGGGTTATGTCGAAGACGTCCTCGAGTTATTCAGGGAAAGCCATTGGGTTATGCCGGGGAAGCCATCGAGTTATGTCGGAAAGGTCCTTGGGTTATGCCGGGGAAGTCATCTGGTTATGCCTGAAAGGTCCTCGGGTTATGCTAGGGAAAGTCATTGGGTTATGCCGGAAAGGTCCTCGGGTTATGCCGGGGAAGTCATCGAGTTATGTCGGAAAGGTCCTAGGGTTATGCCGGAAAATTCATCGTGTTATGCCGGAAAAGTCCTCGGGTTATGCTAGGAAAGTCCTCGGGTTATGGCGGGGAAGTCATCGGGTTATGCCGGAAAAGTCCTCGGGTTATGCTAGGGAAGTCATCGGGTTATGCCGGAAAGGTCCTCGGGTTATGCTAGGGAAGTCATCGGGTTATGCCAGAAAGGTCCTCGGGTTATGTTGGGGAAGTCATCGAGTTATGCCGGAAAGGTCCTCGGGTTATGCCTGGGTCAACTAAGGGGAGGGACCCTATGTTGGAAAGATTATCGGGTTATGCTGGCATCAGTTAGGGAGATCCTATATTGGAGAAGATTACCAAGTTATGCTAGCATCAGCTAGAGAGTGGGATCCTATGTTGGAAAAGATTACCAGGTTATGCTGGCATCAGTTAGGGAGTGAGACCCTATGTTGGAGAAGATGTAGCTAGAGACTAGAAACCCTACGCTACCATGATTTTGAATTTTTCTTCTTCTTCTTCTTTTCATTTCACTTTTGGCATTTTTTGTAATTTAAGAAAATTAATAAAATGTAGGAAAGAATTTGGAGAAGGCTTCCCTTTTGGATTAATTATTGCTGCAAAGTTGTTTCTAGCCCTTGTGAAGTTTCTCTTTGGTTGCGCCTGCTTCTTGCAAGGTTGCTTTGGATTGCATATGTTTCCTATTTTCAAACAAAAAATAATTGTTAGTTTGAAACAGTGGTTGGTTTTGTGGCCTTGATTGTTTCAATCACTTGATCTCGGCCCGGCTTATTCGATGAAGATCTCAACTTCAAGTGCTTATTCCCTGAGGACCGATTTCATTTTAGGCCCTGGAGAACCTGTGGTTTTTCTAGAATTTGCCCTGACGGTTGGTCGGTGGAACTCAACCTTATCGACTTTATTTTGCCTTCGTAGGCCTTTCATTTCTGACTCTTTTTTTTCAATTCTTAACTTCGGATCATTGGGAAACTTTTTGGCTCCTCAAACTTGATGCTACGGCTAGTCGCGTGGGACTTAACCTTTTCCAACTTTATTTCACCTTCGTAGGCCTTTCATTTCTGTCTTCTTTCTTCCAACTTCAGTTTCAGAGCATTTGGGGTACCTTGACTTTTTCAAATCTTTGTCGAGACGGCTAGCCACATGGGACTCAACCTTTTCAACTTCATTTGCCTTTATAGGCACTTTAATTTGATTTTCTCCTTCCAAGAAATTTCAAAACGTCAGCCACCATGGCCGGTCGAAGTGGACTTGATGCCCCTGACGAGACGGGTGCCTTATTGCACATTAGCTCGTGTCAAATGAGAACCCTGTAAATCAGTCTTGTCGTCCCTTCTTTGTCTCAGTTCCAGAATAGAGTTAGACCGAAAGGGATTCAAAGGAAAAACAAATGATGGAATGGATAAATGAATTTAGACAAGAGGTATCCCTTTCGGGGAGAGGAAAGAAGGACTTATCTAGAGTACATGCGAACATTAATGAACATGACATGCCTTTTGGACTGGATTCCTGATCCGTGCAAACCGTCCGACTCTCAGAAATTCATCACAACTTTTGCCTCGAAACTGAGAAACCTTGCCCTGGACAGTGTCAATGTCGGTGACTGAAGGTCCTCTTTTTCGATCAGTGGTGCCCTTTGCGGGTTTTCACGAGCTGACCTCTCTTATTTCTCTTCTCACCATCGCCTTATAGTGCTCTTTGAAATTTTTCACTAACTAGACTCTCTCATTTTTAGTTTCTTTTTTTGCTATTGTCGCCTCACAGTGACCATGTGGGTTTTCACCAATAAGACTTTCTCATTTTATTTCTCTTATTTGGTTGTATGAGATCCAAGTGTCTGTATTCCCCAATTCTTGAACATTCTCACCGATTGATTAGAAGGACTTGAATGGATTTGGGTGAAGATGATTTGGACTGAATTACAACTTTGGAACCATTCAGGCGGGATCATCGCCGAACCATTATAACATCTGCCCCAATTTCACTTTTGGGGAATTTGGATTTCTATTTTGGTGTGACTGAACCTTAGAAAGAGGCTGCCTACGCATCCTTTCAGAATCAAGTCGAACGTAATTCAGGAAACTTTCTTTTTGATTTTCTTTTGTTTTTTCTGTATTGTTTTGTTTTCCCTTTCTTTTTCCTTTCATTTTCCTCTCTTTTTATCATTTTCTTTGTTGTTTCTTCCCCATCTTTTTTTTGTATCTTTCTTTTCTTCTTTTTTTCATTTCTTTTTCTTTTTTCCCTTTTCTTCCTTTTTTGTATTATTCTTTTTATTCTCTTTTCATCATTTTTTTTTTCATTTTTCATCTCATTTTAAAAAAAAAATTCAATAACACTTTCAGGTTCCAAAGAGGGTAATCAAAGAGGAGTAACTGGCTCAAAGGATTTGCAAAGGATTGAATATTTGGATAGTGAGAAATAAAGACTTTTTCATCCCAACCGGAGAACATTAACGCTATATAGAGGATCAAACATAGTACCTTTTGACTGCATTTGCATGGACAGTTGCAATGTATGGACCTTTCCAATCTGGAACCAGTCTTGCTTCAGATGTTCCGAATATTTCTTTTATTTCCTTAAAAATTATCTTCATTGCGATCTAATTCTTGATTCATTATTTCGGGGTCTGACAGCTTTCAGGATCTGGGCATGAAGTCCGTAAGCATGTTATGTTATTGAAATCTGCATTTAACAGAACTTAAAATAGAATAAGAAAAGTGACAAGATTAAGAAAAGAGACATTCCTGGATAGTGAACTATTAATTTCACTTAATTTTTTTTTGATTTTGATGATTTTTTTTTTGAATTTTAAAAGATAGAAGGGTTAACAACGGAAATTAAGACAATAAAATAAAACATCTGGATCGCACCCTGAGGTAATCCGGATGCAAAAAGGATAGCAAGACTGGCTACCGAGACTCTCATCTGATAGGGAACTTTTAGGCTTGGCAACCATTTTTTGGCTTTTCTTTTATACCGGCAATGGCTGCAATAGCCTTTAGTGCCGAATCAAATTCATCATCTTCACAAAGCATTCCGACTATTGGCCCTATGTTGTGGCAGGCAACAGATTGTTCACCACATCAGGAGCTTCTTCATCCCGAAAAATAATTCATTCAGCTTTAATCAAATCTTCAACTGCCCTTTTGAGGGTCCAACAGTCCTTTTTACTGTGTCCTACTACTCCAGACTGGTATTCACATCTAGCATCAGCTCAGTGCGAGGGGGACTCGGGGTTCGGCCGGTTTGGG